TGTGTGTGTGGTCTTACAAGTTCCTTTCTTCTACTGATTACTGTTTAAAACATTTCTCTTTAAAGTATTTTTTTAATGAAAACCTTTTCTATGGAAAACATGTCGATCACAAAAAGTTAAGGTTATACAGACAATTCGTTGTATTTTACCACCCTCAAAGCATTTTTACATATTGCTTACTTCCTTAATTGTCATACTGCTCATGTGAAGTAGTTACTATTACTATCTATTTTACAGAGGACAAAAAGGAGGCTCAAAAGGTAACTAGTTTGCTTGAGGATACCCTGCTTGTCAGTGACAGAGGTGGTTTAATCCTAGGAGTCCTGGCTTCCAACCCTGGTCTGTGACATAACTGCATTGCCCTTTGAATCTGTGTTTCAGCTCTATGAGGCAGTAACTGCCATTGCCAAGCTAGGTCTGCTCACGACCAGCCCTTCCAACAGGGCAAATACCTGGGAGACCAGAGGGTATGTGCTGCTTCGTCTGTAATGGTCCCACGTTGAATTAGCACCCTTCCTCAGCAGTGATGGGTCAGCTGTGGGTGTGTGCTCAGGGGAGTATTAGTCTGCTGTGAGACGCTAAGGACTGTCACAGGAAGCAAGAGTGCCAGGACATAATGATGAGACAAACAGTATGTCATGGCTAGATGATGCTGTTTCCATAAATGGTAGGTTCTTGAAAGGGCTCTGGAGTTACATGTGTAGACTTCCCTCATAGGCAGAATGAGTCTGCAGTGATAGGGAGAAAACAGCCTGCTTGGGGTGGGAGGAGGCAGGAATGAAAGTCTTCACAGGTCTGCCTTCCTCTGTGAGGTGGTTTCAGGACTATGTACACATGGAAAAATATACTCAGTTGCATATCAGATTCTTTCATTTTACTAGGCAATGTAAATTAAAAAAATGTTCACAAGAGCAAGTCATGGCTAAACACAAACCAGGTCTATCTAAGTGTGCTAGGTTCAAGTCAACATCAGTCAGCCTTCAGCAGCTTGAGAGCTCAGTAAGACAGATGAAGTCTGTGGAGAATCTCCTAGCCATTCTTATTTTTCTGTGAGAAGGAACAGATGGCCTAGGGGCTGTGACAGGGGAGAGAGAGAGGTGTGGGCAAGAGGACAGCGGTCTCACTGCCCTGGGCCCAGGTGGGGGCCGTGCGGACTTCTGGAAGGATCCTGGGAACCAGGATAGGGAGGTGCTGTCGGTAGAGCCCTGGGGAAGGCAGAGGCGACAGAGGGGGGTTGAGAACTAGAGCACCTAGCTGTGGCAGCAGCTCAGATGAGGATGCCCAGCTGGCCTCTCTGGGTTTAAATGCACCAGCATGATTCCCCAAATGCAGCCAATCCCAGCTCAAGCTCCCTCTCCCTCTCTGCAGCTAAGGTCTTCCAGATGTCCTCTCACCGCTGCTGTTGCCAGCTCGACCCTAACAGGCCCCACAACTGCCTCCTGGGAATGCTCCTTGGACACTCTTTCCTTTTCCTCCACTCTACCCATTCCTTTATTCTCCAACAGACAAAACAACAACAGTAGTGACACTGACCAGATCCCGTGAGCTGGGGCTGGGCTGAAGTACAAAAACACACAGAGCAGGTAAGGTGCATCTTCTTTTAAGATAAGCAATCTGTCCCTGGAAGAATAAGACTGCTTGCCCAGGGCCCCAGGTCAGTGCGGGGCATTGCTGGGCTTCGCTACCTAACTTTGATGTCACTGTGTTCCTGCTCATGCCAGCCCAATGCCCTTATGTGCTCCCAGGCTTCCTTTATCTTTCCCCTCCCCCTCCTTTCTTCCTTGCTATTTTGCCCTAGCCAGTCTCCAATTCTTGGGCTGAAGAGCCTTCACAGGTATAAGCCTTTGCTTTGGCCTGGGTGTCTTCACAACAACTGTTGGCCAAGTTCCATTTATAAACAAGGCATTCAAATACCTGACGTGGTGTATTTAAGAGAGTCTACATGAACAGAATTTAGTGCTGAGCTTATGACTAAACAGGAAGTGGCACTAACTGTGAGATGTCCAGGTAATTATGAGGAATCCTAAGTGACTCTAGTTGCTGCTGGAATGCTGTCAGTGGAGGATTACTTTCATAGGTGCTGGGCCTGGTCTTGAGCCTCTCTTTGACAACAAGCTTCTGCTCACAAGCCAGGGTAGGTAGGGGGTGAATGTGGGCTTGTAGGAGGCAATGCCACATGAAAGACCTGTGACAGAGCTCCACACTGCAGTGGTGCTTGTGCCCTGTGCTGTCATACCTTGTTGCCTGGTGTGTCTGAGTGTGGTGACAGACATTTCAGAGCACCCTGAGATGGGAAACTCACAACTGTTTTGCAAACAATTGTCATTCATGGTCCTAAAATAGCTACATTTGGCACGTTTCAGAACACTGCCTGCACTTCCATAATCAAGATGCGGCACGGCTGTGGCCTGCGGGTGACATAAAACCCGACTTGCAAATATTATTAGGCTCATGGACCAGCTGTCTAGAGGAGCTGATTAATCCCCGGCAGGAGCGTTGGCATGCAGCACACATGCCATCTGCAGAATACACTGGCAAATACATGCCGGACCTTTCTATCTGGGGGGAAGGCCAGGGCGGGGCAGGCCCAATGGAGGAATTATAGGAACAGCTGGGCTACCCAAGGCTAGAAAATGAAACCCTCTCTAGTCCCAACACATGAGTTTGAGAGGTTGCCCCTTAAGGCTTTTTCCATAAAATAAAGGGGAAATGGGACTTATGACTAATTCTCTCCCTTTTTACACTCCAATCTCTGATTCACTGTCTTGGTGAGAGACGGTGGGCACAGCTCAAGAAGCATGCCTGCTCTGTTTTTAAATCCAGGTCTTCCACTTGCGGGCTGCATGACTTCATATGAATGATTCTTCTATCTTCCTGAGTCTATTTCCCGCCCCTTCCGAGTCAGGCAGTTCCACAAATGCCCTGGCCTTTCCTTGTTTTCTGCTTCAAGACTGCATGAACTGCCTGTATGGCCTTCCATATTCTAGTTCATCTAATTCTTACTTACTCCTTCCCAGAGTCTGGTTTAGTAAAGGAAAGAAAGAAGAAACAATGTTCTAAGAGGGAAGGATGGAATTTTCTGTTGGGGAATTAAGTCAAGGAAATGCGGAACAAAGGATTAAGGCTAACCCTCAGAAAGGAGTTCAGACAATGGCTGGGATGTGATTGGGGTATGTATGTGTGTGTGGGGGGGTGGCAGAAAGGCAGTCCTGATGGGGAGGTAGGAAGGCTGCATGACCACTCTGAGAGGGTCCTGGACGGGTTCCAGTGCAGAAGCTGACACGAGAGGTGTCAGTCACTTGAGGCCACAGTTTTTGGCAACTTAATGAATGACGCATGACTTGTATATCCAGGCCCCTTCCAATAGTACCTCTGTTAGCTTCTGCTGGCTCCTGGCCCTGCCACCTTCTCACTTATGGATGGATCAAGGGTGTTAACCACAGACTACAGAGTTCAAAGTCTGGTTAAAAGTGAGAAAACAGTCTTGCTGTGTTCCCTCTGCCACCGAGACGGTCTCACACACAGATGGAAGCTTCTGGGTTCTACTGGAGCCATTTCCTAAGTCATATATTCAGGGAGCCTTCTCTATATCAAATGTCCATGTTATCAACCTTCACCTGCTCTCCCTTGAGGCCAGGGCTCAGCTCACATTCCACTCAGACCCTCTTGGCATACCATGTCACCAAAATCATGTCTGCATTCCTCTCTGCTTGGAGATACAGCCTACTTTTGTGTCCCCAACTCTGGGTGTGTGTATGTGCACATGCCCCCACCCACATGATCCCATGAGGAGGCTTACTGTGTGGACATAAGGCCCTAGAACAAGAAATGACACATGCTGGAGAATTCAAATAGCTGAGCTGTTTGCCCAACATGGAATGGAGCATTTGGACAGTATCTGTAAGCAGGCAGGAGCTTGGTTTGACATTTTCCCTTATCACTCATCATACTTCCGTTCTGAGTCAAAGAAACGAAGGAAAGAATTAGCATTAAAAAACAGGAAAGAGAACTAGGAAAGAAGGTTCTAGAAACGAGTGGAACAGCTATTACTCATTTTGAAACTGTAGAAAGAAGCGTCCTGTGATATATTCCAGTTCATGCTCAGCCTGGCGCAGGTGACCAGGCTTTGGTTACTATCCCCAGTGACTCACCCTCTACTGAGTCCCAGGCATTAAAACACACAGAAGCCACCACAGTTGCTAGTTCATCACTGAGTCCCACACCTGGCCATGTGAACAACCAGCAAGACAGAAACACCCTTGGAAATTCCTTCCTGGCATCTGGAGCTCTACTAACTCAGTCAGTCCAGTGGGTTGGCTTCTGACTCGGTATGTGCTTTACATAAAGACTGTCTGAAGTTTTTTTAGAGGTTGGGTAGAGGCTGACAAAGAAAGCAGGGCTTTTCCAGGAACTGCCACCAGCAAGGTTCTCCTGACCATCTCTTTCCCATCACTGCTTTGCTCTGAACTCCAGGGCTTCATCGAGGCCTCGGTCCCAGGCTGGCCTGTTGGGCGTCCTGGAAGGTGGCTACAGAGTCAAGCCAGGATCAGCCTCCATTTGCCTCTACAGGCTCTTCCCTAGGAGGTGCCCTCATGCTGGTGCTACCCACTCCCAGCTGCCTTCCAAACCTTGGATGCCCTGATATTAGCTCTGAGGCATCATCCTGTGCTCTGTTTCCCGAAACCCTGCTGTTCCTTTGTATAAGACTGTTATTAAAGTCTCTCCTTGGGGTGCCACCCACTTTCTGCTGGGACACGGCTGACTGGGAGCGAGCTATAACTTGGATATGTCCAGAAAGGCAGGTGGACCGTTGGGAGTAGTTACCTGCTCACCAAACCAGTGCTGCACCTGTCTACTGGGCCTACTAGTCCCCCAGCTGAGGAATGTCATACCCTTGCCAGATCAGAGGGGGGGGGGGCAGCTGGAGGACATGAAGGTAAAGAGGAAAGGCTATGCAGAGCAAAGACGCAATCAGGAGCCTCTGTCACGGCATCTCCCACCTTGTCTTGCTGTGTACTCGTTGTCTTCAATCAACCGAGCCAATCCAAAGTCAGCAATCTTGCAAATTAGTCCATTCCCCACTAGGATGTTTGCTGACCGCAGATCTCTGTGGATATAATTCATGCGCTCGATATAAGCCATTCCTGCAGCAACCTGTAGAAACCCAGAGAAGGGAGCACAACGGTTACACCATAGCCCGTCACGTGTCCATGTCGATACACTCTCGGCTGGGATCATGGTCCTCCACTGCGTACCTGTGCTGCCATGTCGACAAGGTTTGGCAATTTCAGAGCTCTCCCTTCACCATCTTTTAAGAAATCAAGCAAACTTCCTATGAATGAAACATACAACAATTTTAGTTAACTCAGACAGGCAAAAGTTCTTATTGGGCTGCATTTGATTTCCTTATTGTAAGTACAAGGTAGCTGAGTGCAACAATACCATCGATGGAAAAAGAAAGGTTGTATAAAAAACAAAACAAAAAACAAACAAACAAAAAAAAACAGAGAAACAAATTCCATGTTTTAGGAAGCAAGCTTTAGCATCTGAAAATAAAGTAATTATTTTGTTTCTAATGACAAAGAGTTTGGTAAACTAGAAGAAATGAACTCCATCCCCTTTTCTGTCACACGGGGGAGTATATCAGGCATGGAACCACCCTTGCATGCCCCATCATTCCTGCACAGGGAGTGATGGGAGGAAGACCGCCCAGGTGCGTACACTGAGGATGGACAGCTGGGATCAGCAGCACAGTGCTGCCAGGGAATTTGCTGGAAGCGCACTTTCTCAGGCATCAGTCAGACCCAGACTCCCACATTTCCACAGGTCCTCAAGATGACTCTAATACAAGGAGGTTTCCGAATCCCTGACTTCTGTTCAGGTTTAAGCTGTGAATGTCGCCTCTGAGGAATGTGGGGCAGAGAGCTTCCTAATTAGATCACAGGCAGCCAAACCTCTGCCTCAGACATCTGAGACAAACAGCCAACAGCCAGAGCTTCGGAGCCAGGCTTGCAAGCTGCGTGAGGAGGCCCAGAACTGACACCAAGGCGGAGATAATCATTTCCAGGAGCTGGGGGCACATGATGGCTGCCAGTGGGTTTTTTTTTAATGCTTTAATCACAAAGCTATTTACAAAATAACCCTGGATCCAAAGGGCAAACAATCTGCCAGGAAAAAATTCCAATTATATTTTAAAAGAAGTACATAGAAAAGAAAAATTACACTAGTGTCGTTCTAATGTACAATGCATGGCCTTTTAAGGCTGTTTCTTGTTTGGCTCATTTATTTTTCCAAAACAAAGTCCTCTCTGGCTTCATCCCCAACAATGCTGGTTTGATTATAATGGTGCACACATGCACACGTGTGCACCGACACATGCATCTCCAGGGAGGGGAGGGAGGGGTTAACTGCATGTCATTTCTTCACCTGACATTCAAAGAGAAAACTGGGGGGAGAGATGTTGACCTGGAGCCTGAACTATTGGTCATTATTCCTAAAAAGAAAAATTTAACAAAAGCCACTGACTCAAAATGGCAGCAGGTTTCATAGCCCTCTCCACTCACTCTGATATAAAATGGATGTTTTAATTATGTGGAGGAACATTCCTGACGTGTAACAGGCACAAGGCACCGTGCTTTTCAAGAATCTGGGGGTGAGTTCAATGTTCCCTCCTTTCCTAGTGTTGTCCTGAGTGAGCACAGCCGGCACTTTCTCATGGGAATCCCTGGTCCACGCCGAAACTGGGGCTAAATAGATAGGCAGCCCCATTTCTCTCGGTGAACAGTCCCTGCAAGCTGCAAGGCAGCGTGAGGAGGAGGAGGGGGAGAGCGCTGTCCAACCTTTATTCATGTACTCCGTGACGATGTATATGGGCTCCTCAGACACCACGGCGTAGAGCTGCACCAGTTTGTCATGCTTCAGCTTCTTCATGATCTGTGCTTCCTCCAGGAAGGACTCTGGAGACATTGTGCCTGGCTTAAGAGTCTTTATGGCTACTTTTGTGTTTCCATTCCAGGTACCTACAAATGTCCCACAACAGAAAGTCAACCCAGAAACTATTTTCATAAAATCAGACTTCAAGTTTTAAAAATCTTAAATTTTTTTTTACAAGCAAAAACAATTAACTGCAAAGGACTCTGTCATGTATGTCAACAGAAAAAATTGAGTTTACCTATAGTTGTTTAATAATTCGCTAAGATTTCCCATTTGATATATATCACTCTTTTTTTTTTAGCTCATCCATATAATTGTGAATGTACATTTAAAAAAGCTTTGGGCTCTCATTTAAGTGATGAAAGTCTAGGATTTAGAGTTGGCCTGGGTATCCAACAGCTGTCCCTTAGATAACAGGGAAAGACTGGAAGAAATGAGATTAAATTCCATCTTAGAGGGTGTGCCTCGTAAAAACATGGCCACACACGGAGGATGCTTGGAAACTGGTTCTAGATTTTCATTGTCTGCCCTGGGTGAGTTACTTGACCGAGTCCTTCAGCAGTCATTCTGTATGTGCTCATAAGCACAGGTAAGGAACACAGCATCTCCCTGCCCATACTTCCCCAGGAAAGGAAATCTCTCAGGCTCTGAGGAGTCACTACAAGAACAATGACTTCTAGCAGGTGAGCTGCAAAACCAAACAGCAGCGGGGCAAGAAGAGAAGTATTTAAATGTGCTATGTTTAAATACTTCTTTAAAAATCTAGCTAACCCAAAGGTGAGGCCTGGTTTACATCCACTATCAGTTAGTTCATCTGTAGAATACAGCAATGGACTAGCTTCTCATTCTCTTTTGGTTCTCAAATTAAAAAAAAAAAGACAAAATTCTGGCTTACTTGATTTCTATCTGATGACTTTGGAGGATAATTTTTAAAGGGAAAATAAAACTCTGCTAATTTAGATTATATTGCTTACAATTTGAAAGAGAATATAGGTTCAAACTAAGATTTACTCATATGGAATCTGACATTCAGATCTAAGCAAGGAGCCTGTATATCAAAGCATTTTATTATTCTGTTAAAACATAGTTACAACATACATCCCACAGAGGGGGAAAAAAAAAAACCAACGAAAGTGGCGTAAAGAGCTCAATTATCTCAGAAAATATCTGCCACTCAGTGTAAATGGGAGCTTGGACAACATTTAAGTAGCCTCCATGATTTAACTGTTAATGTTTTCTCATTTAAGCACTGTGCAGCCTTCCTCTCTTAGCAGCTTGGTAACTGTCTAGACTTCTATCCCAACTCTTCCGTTCCATGGGAAACAACACCTTGGTGCTCTGTGTAATGATGAGTTAAAGTTGATAGTTTCAACTGTTTGAAGATAAAATTTCTTATGGAGTCCAATTCTTCCTGATTGTAGGATCTGAAGAAATTCCTTGGGACTTACAACTTCAATTATAAGTTGGGTAGATAATGAGAAACAAGTTATATAAGCAGATTTTATAACACTTGAGATAAAGTCTAGACAGGGATGGGCACATTAATATGGACTCACTATTGTAATATGCATAATGAACGACAGCTAACATACATACATGCATGTGTGTGTGATCCATCATCCATGTGTGCATCTGTTTATGTTTCTGCATGCTACCTGCTATGCTTCAAGCATTTTGATTCCATGAATTCTCTTGCTGTGGGCCATCCCGGAAGACCAGATGTACCTTTTTATATCCTTTTAGACTCTAAGGAAGGGAGATTCCGGTACACTTTCATGGGCAGATGTTTTGGGGAGGGATCTAAGTCTATGGATTGTCTATAAGCCAAGGTGCATCTGATCCACAGGATTATAAATGCCATCTCAAGGGCCCAGTGCAGTCGGCATTACTGACAACCAAATGAAGAAAGATATGCATGGATCTAAGATCTACAAGAGATTTTAAACATGTCTTATATAACCCTCAAAATAATCCAGTGACTCTGGTTTTACAGATGAGGAACTGAGGCTCAGAGGTGTTAAACAGGCCCCATTTTTATGCTTAATTATCCAGCAAGAGTTTAGAGCCAGGCTTGCCATGCAGAAGTCCATGACCTTTCTCTATAGCTGCCCACACACAGAATCTTACCGTCCCATCTCACAGGAAGAGAAAGCCCCACATTGGCAGTGTGCTGGCTTCCTGTGTGCAGGTGCTTATGAGCCACATGAAATAGGACAGATGAACACAGCAAGGTGCCACCACATTCTGCAAACCTGGGCTCGATGCCCATCGAGTCACACAGGTCAAGGGTCTTTGTCTCAGTGGTCACATATGCATTTCTGTTCACAACTGTCCTTTTCATCGGCTTTGAGATGCAGCCAAAACAGAATGTGCCCTCTGCCTTACCAAGCCACACTTCAGCGAAACACCCCTGCCCCAGCTTCTTCTCCAGAAACAACGAGTCACGTGCAACTTCCCAAGCATCTTTAGACAATCCAGAAGTTTGTGGGGTACAACTTGATGAAATCACAGTTAAGTTAAAACACAAACCATCAGCTTTCTCTACAGGAAAGGGAATTAATAAAGAAAACACAGTCCTTATAATCCATAATCATGCATGCACTAGGAAAGGTGGAAGGTGACTTGCCCTAAGGGCAAGATTCAGCCAATATTTGCAGCTGGCAATGAAGGGTAAGACACTATGCAGGCTGGAATAGTCCTTCCACCAGCTATAGCATAGCCCAAGCCATCTGTCATTCTTGTTCATGTCTATCTTTTTGAGAAATTACAAATTTTTAAAAATAAAAATTGAGCAATTCAAACTGTCCGTTTTCATGGTCACCTTCCATCTTTGACGTTTGGGATTTCCCAAACGGGGAAGCTAATGAAAGAGAAATTGAGTTTCAGCATACCCATCCATACTTCCCCAAACTGCCCATTTCCCAGTCTCTTGATCAACTGTAGGGATTCTCGAGGGATTTCCCAGACATCTTTGGTTTTGACAGACAGATCGGTAAGCCTTGGCATCCCTTTGTGACAGGGGACTACTAGGCGGCAGCAGAGACCTGCGGCTCTCTCTGAAGGAGCAGGGCAGAGGCAAGGGAGAGAAGAGCAGAACATGTAACAACAGTGTGCACAGGCTGTAGAAGATCTGACCAACATAAGCTAAGCAAACATATTCACTGGAGGTAGATGAGCACATTTCAGATGGTCCCCTGGGCGTGCCCCATACACACAGGTGCAGAATGCTTTGGTTTCTGTGCACTGTAATCTAATGGACTAGCATACATATTCTGAGATTCCGAAAATGCCCTTGCTAATTTCAGAAAGTGCATACGTAAGAATAAAATGTGTGGCTGCCCCTTTCCCTTCTGATATCTAGAGGGCCTAGGGGTTAACGGAATCTCCCTGGTACAAATGTGTTTAAAATGTGACTTTAGCATAGGAGCCTTCCACAGAACTCTGGTCTGTTAGAACTAGTTGGTCTCAAGTGTACACCTGGCAGCGGGGAAAACATGTCACATTTTCTTTAGGGATGGCTTTGTCCTTCTGATTCTGTTCTACCAGTCCGTGTGCTTACACTGCTTTTTTGGGGGGGCAATTTTCTACTAGAAACAAACAAAAGCAAAAACACAACCTTTTAAACAGCTTCCTTTGTGTAATTTAGGAGTCTGGATTCAAAGAAAGAATGGCAATTAGCATTCACAGAAACTCAACAGCATGAAATACAAGGGAAACAGCAGCCACTGCTCAGGTTACTGGGCAGTTGGGTATTTTCTTCCTTCCTTGTTGAAAAGAATATACTTTTGAGAATCTAGCAAAGGTAAGGAGAGGGTGACTAAATGTCAACAAAGAGTGAGTACTCAGGGATGGATGGAAGCTACACAGAGCCTGGACTGACAGGTGGGCAGAGCCCCCCATGTCCCTTGGAGCCCCTGAGATCCAAAGCATAAACGTGGCTGCCTCTTTTCTGGGAACTCTTAGCTTATTTTTTTCACTTTTCTGTTTGATGGAATCTAGTTCTGAGATGTCTAGGCAGGAAATTATTTATGTGTCAGTATTTCAAAGGCATTCTACGTGCAAGAGAGAGAGAGCAAAGAGGAAAAGCCAATATAAAAACAAATCTAACTCAAGATAGATTTTTTCCCTGAGATTAAAAAACGTCTATTGTTCTTCATATCCGCTCTCTCCTTCCGGCTTTCTGATGTTATTAAGGTGCCCTTTCCGGCACACTATTTTCAAATGATCCAAACCCTGGGGATCCTGCTGATGTTTGCCTGTAATGAAATATATTTCAGCATTTGAAAAAGCCTTATAACATGCAGGCGTTTTGTGCATATCTCTAAAGCTCAGGGAGATTTTCTGCTCCATTTCTCGAAATATTTCATTAGGATCCACATAGAGTGAGAGCTAATGCCTGAGTCATTGGCTGCTCAGGTACTGCTAATTTTTTCAATTGCTCATCAATGGCCAGAATCAATTTGTAGGCATTTCTTATTGTTATTTTTAAAAGACTACATTTTTTTGTGTGCTAAAAATAGCACAAATATTTTTCAATGGTGGAGTAAAAAAGCTGGGTGTGGCTCCTGTCTGTAATCCCAGCATTCAGAAGGCTGACACAGGAGGATTGCTGTAACTCTGAAAGGTCATCTTGGGCTACACAATGAATACTAGTACACATAGGGCTTCGAGTGAGACCTTATCTCAAAAAAAGGAGGGGGTCATGTATTGCATAGTTAACACTTATTAGCCAAGGAGAGCAAGCACAGCATATTAAACAATTGCACATAAAGCTGCATATTTAAATAAACTGCACATACATATACATGTAGCCAATAATTAAAATTGCCAAGAACAAAAACTGCTATCATTTGGTGTGAAGACAGTGTAATCTTTGTTTAAAGTCATTACACCTTTAATCTCAGTACCAGGAGGCAGAGACAGGTGGATCTCTTGAGTTTGAGGGAACCAGGCCTATTGTGAGACCCTGTCTCAAAAAAGAAAAAAAAAGTCACAATAGAGGTAACAGAGAGCTGTGGCCATACACTTATAAGCCTGGGTAGGAAGCAGCACTTTTTGAATGCAGATTTACTTCTGCAGACAATGATCATGAATGCAGGAATGCGTGTGCAGCCCATTGCAGGGCAAGTGTCAGGTGAATGCTTCCAGTGAGCCCACCCAGGCACCACTCCTTTCTTTTCCTGGTTCTGCATTACATGAAGGCAACAGGAAAAGAACTTGCAAGGATTTTTATTATGAAAATAAAAACAACTTTTAAGATTTAAACGTTTGCCTTCTACTCAGGGGAACTGAAAAACACACGAGGACAATATTATCTGTGGTTAGAACAGAACAGCAGTGGAGCCACTGGTTCAAGTCTGATGTCAGGGTGCACAGGAAATGACTTGTCAGCATTTGTGACCTCCTCCTCGTCTCCTCCCAGCTCTGGGCCCACCCACTCCTTCCAATTTCCAAACGCTGAGGGTACCTGAGTAATGTTGCACGAGCTGCTGGAGAGTTTCAAACTGGGCCCGGGTTGTGATGTAGTATCCTCCATTGTCAAGTTTGCGAATTTTATAATGCTTGACATGGTCTCCTTTCATATCATCCCAATCACGGATGGAAAGTGAGTAGGCACCTGTTAAATATGTAGAGCATCAGCAGTGTCAATCATCTCTGACTGCCAGTCTGTTTTGTACGTCTCATTTATTTGACTATTCTAATAATTATCAAAAGGACACACATCCATGCTTGCACACATATGCATGCACACCATCTCCACTCAGTAACAGGACAAAGGTATCTCTTGCTGTCCTGCCCGGGTCAGAGGCTGTTAGCAACAAAAAATGACTTTGCTCTTGGAACTAAAACTTCCCAGCTGTTTTTCTAACGTCTTCTTACAGTTTCTTGTGTTGTCTAACACAGCCCAGACCAAACCACACTGGACAAGATCAAGAGCAGTACAGGAACTCTAGGTGAGCTTGTCTCCTGGTTTCACTTCCTATGGGGTATCTGAGAGGCAGGCATGGGGGAGCGAGATTATGGAGGAGCAGAGGGCAGGTAGAAAAGAAACCCACTCCTCTGCTCCTCTACAAGGAAGCCCCAGAATTCTGCTGGCAGACACTTCACAGGGACAGGTTACCAGTGTATGGCAATGGAGCCAGAGGCAGCATTCCCCGCCCCTTTGACCTACCTCCTCCTGTGGGCTCTAATGAGTGATTACACAAAGGGAAGAGGAATGAAGTCCTCCATTAACAAAACAGAATGGAATGAAAGGAAAGGAAAGCCAAACAACCTCCCTGTAGATTCACTGGCACTCTAGCAAGAGTCTGAGGCAGGGATGCTGGCTGGCCTGTGCTTCTAGAGCCTCCCTGGGAGTCCTGGACTTGTGCAGTTGTCCAAGCTCCAGTCTTCAGGGGAAGGGTGGATCAGGGCTGCTTCAGGCCAGGGAGGCTGTGCCAGTTATGGGCCTTGTGGTTACAGCGATGCCTTCCAATCCCCAGGACTAATCCACAGATTTTAATGACAGGCAGCTCCGTCCTCTCCTCATCTTACCTTTGGTGGTTTCACTCTCGCGGATAAGAAAGGTACCTCTTGGGTTTCCAAAGGACAGGAGCTGTCTCTCGGCATCTTTTCGGCCAAGTTTTCCAAAGTACCACCTTTGAGAGAGATGGATAAAAGAAAATAAAGCCACCTGTAACGGAGCAAAGGTAGCTTTTCCTCCACAAATTCCTTCTCCCTTAAGGCTGCCCCCACTGCCCCCAACTGTTCTTTTCCAGGTTCATTCAGTTCTTTTTCAATCTATCCCTGAGTCTATCCTCTCTCCATCTTTTTCATTCTTTAAAAAAAATCGGATTTGAATCGTGGGTTGTTTTCCTTCCCTCTAGAGCGACAGGAATTTACGTGTATGAAAAGTGCCACCTGCATGCACAGAAAGAGAAATCTGTCCTTGTTTGAAATGCCAACTGCAGGAGATACTTCCACAGCTCATGGAGAAGACCTGTGCTTTCTGAACATAATTACAACTCCTGGGAACTACCAAGACGCAGTCCTAGTATAGAGACAGCTCATTAATCAAGCATTATTTTCTAGAAAGAAACTCACTCAGGCTGGAAAAGAAGAGAGATGGATAACATTTCTACTCAAGCTCTGCCTATGAGGATTCTGAAGAAAGGAAGCCAGCTCTATCCCTGATCTGAGATCACTGTTGTCCTTGGAAGACTGTTTTGGTTGTTTCATTCCACCTGAAGGTGGGAGGGCTCACATTATTGACATCCATCAGCCATTATCACAGCACGTGGCCTGTGATCTGCAGTGGGACTACACTGACACAGCTGTGGCAGCTTACTGCACATTTGAGATCTGTACAGTTAATAAGTATGTCCAGAAAAGTTAGTTGGTGGGTAGACATTTCAACATTCCCTTGCAACAAACTGATGGCTCTTTTGTGCCCTGGTAGGAAGTGCCTCCCAAGTGGCCCCAGGGTCTTTATGTGTCTTTTGTCTTCCCACCTATACTGTAGAGCTCCAGCCAACGGCTGGCAATTGGTTTACATTTTGGCACTGGTGGTATATGAGCTGTTAAGTGCACCAAGATCCCAAGGAAGAATTTTGGAGAATTCTCCTGGAATCTGTGTGTAGGAGCAAATTTTAGGATGTTTAGTTATGAAAGCATGCTGTTTAAAAAAAAAATGAAGCTTCAATCCATCACGTTTGTACATAGCTAATAAGTTTGCGATCAGTCCTTCTATGAGTGAAAGACTTTCTTTTTTTTTTAAGATTTTATTTATTATGTATACAGCATTCTGCTTCCATGTATATCTGCACACCAGAAGAGGGCACCAGATCTCATAACGGATGGTTGTGAGCCACCATGTGGTTGCTGGGAATTGAACTCAGGACCTCTGGAAGAGCAGTCAGTGCTCTTAACCTCTGAGCCATCTCTCCAGCCCCGTGAAAGACTTTCACTGAGGAAAAGTCCCACCACATTAGGTCTCCGGTGACTTGAGACAGACCAAGATTTTCCACAATTCTAGTCTAGCAATAGTTGGTGTAAAGGATATGACACCAATTACCTGTGAGAAATGTCTTTCTTGGATTGTATCAGTACCTCAATTAAGATGCTGTGCTAAACAGTGGTGAAAGGGAGCTTGGAGAAGGATGTATTACATCTAACTAACATAATGCTAATTAATTGCATATATAAAAACCATAGGCTTTATTAAAAACTACCCTAGTCTCTAAAACCCCCAAAATATTAGAAATCCTTATCATTATAAATATGACTTTAATATGCAGCCAATGGCTTCTCAGTTAAATCAAAGTAATGCTACTCTGTAGTGAGTTTTAAATTTTGAAAAGACATTGGAGATATTTACAAATGTGTCCTAAAATAAAAATTCAGCACAAATACATGTATTTACTGGTAAGGAAACACATTATTAAGGAGGGGGAGAAAGATCAGCTCAACACCACCGAATGCTGGACAAGCGGAAAGAGATCTCCTTAGTATAATATACAAAGGAATTGGAGGAGACACTGATCGAACGGGGATTTGGCTAGGGTGACGGTCTAATCCTCCTTGCTGTGCCTCAACAAATCCACAGCGAATTAAACATGAGAGCTGCAGGTGTGCACCTCCCTTTCTAGGAAGTCAAGTACTAGGGCTGAGGCAGAGGCTAAGTCCCTGAGCTTGGGACATCCTCTTTGCTGTCCTCTTGCTACAGTCCTACAAGTGTCTCTGACAGGAGAAGGAACAATGACTAGTCACTCATCCTTTGAGTCTCCCACTTCTCCTAAACAGCCTCCAGTCAGAAAGTGGGGCCAAGTAACTGCTAATCAATGTCTATCAGTCATGAAAACAACCGAGACCTCAAAGGGAAACATTACTTGAAACCCACAGCTGGGTATTTTGCAAGTTGTGGGACTTGCTGCATGTGAAATACTTTTACCTGGGGCCAAAAGACATGTCTTTTCAGAACTCTCAATATTTCTGATTATCAGGGAGAAGACTCCTAGCTTAATCTTTAGTAATTATTTGCCTCCTCGGTGCCCAGGGAGCAGACTAAAGGAGCACCGTGGGCTCTCAATAATACATGCTGAGGTTGGAGTTTTCACCACATTAGTTTTTAATCTAGAGCAAGTTATTGGGCTTTCATTTAGGGTACTCATATAAAGCTTCTAAATAAGAAAATGGACAGGCTTAAAGGGAAATATGGAGTTAATAATAGTGTATTCCAGAGAAATGAGAGCACCATAGCAGCATTATAGTCCCTCAACCCGTAATCACTGGTAAATTTCTTCTCTCTCCTGTGCCATGTCACTGGCATTTTATTGTGACAATTAACTTTTAAAAGCAGGTAGTTAGAGAAAACATCAACAGACATACTCTTCTGCCTGGATAGAGTCAACTGGAGCCACATAATTGCTCGGAATGTAACCAGTTTCCCCCGTTGTCAAGGAGCGGGCTTCCCACCAGTCTCCTTCCCTGCAAAGAAAGAAGAGGAGAGCCATGACTTCGTCATCCGTTCAGCACTCTGCAGTCAGATTAGATGCAGTAATTGGTCCTTCTGCCATGCAATTCTTGCAGTCCTGCTCTGCTTCTGCAAACTAACACAGGCCCTAAGGAGGCCAAATAGCTTACAAGCCAAACCACTGTGAGCTGCAGCCAGGGCTGCCTCCTCCTTCTGGGGAAATGGTGCAGCTGACCCATCAGTGCTTCCCTGGCATCATGAGGCTCTAGGTTCAACACTCAGCAGGAGGAAGGCCTCTGAGGGCCACAAGTTCAAGGTCATCCTCAAGGCTAGAGATCCTAAAACAAACACACTTTCTCGTGTAGGGCTCCAGGAAAAGCGTTTTTTCTGGGTAGGGGGCAAACGTGGATGACGCGTGTGGGGGAGCACACACAACAGCCTCAGCTTACTTTGGGAAAAAACTGCAGACTGCTTAGGGGAGGGAAGCCTGTTAGGAGGCGCAGTGAGTGATGGATGTGTGCTCAGTGTATCCACCTTGCTTGCTCTTAAGAAAGTGGGAAGACATGCTTTCTGTGGGTAGAGTGAGCAAGAACATCGTAAGACAGGCTTTCCTCAGATACTTTCAATTGGGGGTTATTCCACCAACCTTCATAGCTTTAGCTTGCCTGAATCTGATGGAAGGGTGGGCCGGTGTATAGGTGGATGGCAGGAACAGGAAAACTCTGAGGACAGTGAACTCTGGGGCACGGCCGCAAAGTGCTCACAGAGTATGAGGCAGGGAGAGCACTTCCAACACTCAGTTTAAAGTCACTATACATAAAACAGGTGTCCATGTGCTTGGATTCATGCAGGGTTTTGTGTGGCAAAGAGCAAGGATGGAGTGTGTGCCCCCTCCCATTAACAATGGGTGGGTGGGAGGTGGGATGGGTGGAGTTTCGTGTGGACTCTCCACCAATGAGGACTGGAGTGTGGTGGAAGGGCAGGGCTGCCCTCCTGCACATCAGGTCTCTCAGTCTCAGACACCACAGATCCATCACCTCCTGTCTTCCTTTAGTCCTTGGAAGTAAGAGTTTAAAAAAAAATCACCTTTGGCTGGGCTCTGTTGATGCTCTCAGCCAAGGAAGAAAACACACTGGTGTAGGGCTGGGGAACATTCCCTCTAACCTGACTACACCGGGTAGAGACCAGCTAGCCTCCTGTGAAGCTGGAGTCTTTTCAGGTTCCTCACAGATGAAATTTCTGAGCCAGGTACCAAGGAGCAGTGAGTCAGGGGTAGTTTTAGAAAGCCACAGAATAAAATGGCGACTAGTCCAAGTGGGTGTGGCTATAGGATGAACTGGCTATACCAGTTCACGGGAAATAAGGTTTTTTGCTTGTTTATTTATTTTTTTTTTTTTAGAGATTTATCGTCTTAAAATATTATGTGTAGACATAAAGGTGTCTATATGCAGTTATATGGATGTGCCCTTGGAGGCCAGAGGCCTCTGACCCCTGGAGCTACAGATGGCTGTGAGCTACCTAATGTGTATGCTGGATAACAAACTTGGGTCTTCTGGAAGAACAGCACATGCTCTTAACTCCTGAGCAGTCTTTCTAGTTCTAAGGGTTTAAAAAAATTATTCCTTGGCTAGGTGTGATGGAGCACACATTTAGTCCTAGCACCTGGAAAGCAGAGGCAATCTCAGTTCAAAGCCAGCCTGGTCTACACGGCGAGTTCCAGGCCAGTCCTGTTAGACAGTGAGACCCTGTATTGAACAAATGTATTCCTAAGTATTCCAAGAGGGATTATTGTAGCTCCCCCTACCCAGAAAGCTCTTTAATTATAGCCACATTATGTTCACATTCTTGTTTGAAATATTTATACATATCAAAGGCTTTACACAAATAAAAATACCGGAGGATTGTAGGAGCCGTGTCATTTTCCAAGTACATGGACATCTATCTATCTCAGCTACAATCTGGACTTGTGTCCCTTTTCCTTGTAGTACAACTCATGAATTGGGACTAGGGGTGTTTTCTTGCACAGTGCTGGCCGAGTGTGCCCTGGTTCCCAACCCCAACACTACAGGAGGAAAAAAAAGGTAACATTTTAAGTTTGCATTGTTCCCATTTCTTGCCTAAGTCTAGCATCTATATGTATATATGGAAATTATGTGCGTTTGCGAAAAAGGCTTTGGAAACACTAACTTCATTTTAATAGTGACAATTTTACTGCTCTGAATATCCACTAGATGGAGACATTTCATCATTAAAAAAGAAATCACCCAATGTCTCCTCCTTGCAACCAGTCCCCCAACCTGGGAAACACTCCAAAAGGATGAAGAAAGAGAAAGTGCTTGTAGCACAGGCTTACTTTGTAAAGCACAAAATCTTCATCAAGTTACTTATAACTGAATTAAATTAAGGAAAAGAAAGGCTAACATCAATTTCAGGTGATGTCAGAATGTCACCAGGGGCAGGAAGCCAATACATCTTGCTGCAAATTGGGACAAGCCCAGTTTTATTCAGGTGATTGTGCAGTAATGAAGCAAGTTGCAAATTAAGTTAGTATTAACTTGTTTTGGTATAGGTACCTTGTTTATCACACACTGGAATCTAACAATACCACAAGAGTTTGTAGTTATTCACAAGAAAGATACTACCACCTGGACTTGGGTTCAGGGCTGGCCAGGGTCATTTTTCTTTTTCCTCTATCCTACAAGAGACATGCACGCAACGAAGACTCTCTGCACTGTGAAGCAGATGTCACATCTTATGGCATTTCCCTCACATTTTACTCTCACGGGGCCTTGAAGAGTGGTAAGACTCAAAACATCTACCAGGAGTTGTTAGGGAAACAACAAACCAAGTTTAATACACTTGAAGCACCAATTCACCACAAATACACACATCGTGTTGACTTGGAGTGGGATCTCAAATGCGCCCCTCTCACTCTTGACGTGATCTGTTGTAGTTAATCATATTAGTAAATCTGTACACACTTGTGCATCTGTGCACGAGCCCACAATGCGTGTGTTCAGATATTCATGCCTGTGTGTGTGTGTGTGTGTGTGTGTGTGTGTGTGTGTGTGTGTGTGCGCGTGTCTACAGAGGCCAAAAGTTGATGCTGCTGTCTTCCTCAATTGCTCTGAGATGGGGGTCTCTTATTGAGCCTGAAGCTAGCAGATTCAGCTAGATGGCTAGCTGGTAATCCTCCTGCTTGTCTCTGCTTCCCCAGCACTCTGTTACAAGTGTTGCTGTCACACTCAGCTTTCTGTACCGTCACTGGGGACTAGACTAGGTTCCTGGGCCTTACCTGCTGGGGACTGGACTAGGTTCTGGACCTTACCTGCTGGGGGGACTGGACTAGGTTCTGGACCTTACCTGCTGGGGGGACTGGACTAGGTTCTGGGCCTTACCTGCTGGGGACTGGACTTGGTTCTGGACCTTACCTGCTGGGGACTGGACTAGGTTCTGGGCCTTACCTGCTGGGGGGACTGGACTAGGTTCTGGACCTTACCTGCTGGGGGGACTGGACTAGGTTCTGGGCCATTTCCCTGGCCTATACAGTTGCACTTCTTCAAACTGTTCTTACAGTTCAGCTTTTTTATTATTTCATACTTGGTGAGATACTGTCTTACTGTTTTGAATCCAAGCCAGGATGTAACCCCTGACACTGGCTGAGAATAGCTTCTAAGTTTTTTATAATAGCCCTGTGATCGTCCATTTCTGTCTCTAAACCTTACTGTCCCTCATAGGGCTGTGGCTCCAGGTGCTGGGACCCCAGATGGAGGCAGGAAATGGCTTTGTCAAGAACTGCCAGCCTTGCCCTGTCCAGCCACGGAGTGCTGGATTCTCTTTGAATTTGGCAACTGTACTTCTCACTCTGAGAAAGCCTCTCTATAACAACTTTTATCACATCTGGGCAATCAAAAGAAAAAAAAATTTTCTGATGTGACAGACTGGGCAACAACCACGAGTCCATCTGTGTAAAATAATGATATCATTTTAAGGACTTGCTGTTTCAAGATGGTTAAATCACTAGTTACAAAGTGTGGAAATAGGGAATAAAATGGCTAACTAAATACAGCGCAGAGTGAGTTCAGGCCTGCTAAAGTCTCAGTCCTGATAAAGTCCTGAGTTTATACTGAGAGGCACCCCTCCAATCCGTCTGCACAGGGTGAGGTGGGGCCCTTCTGAGCACTGCCCCATACATGCTATGGTGGGGGTGGGTTAGGAGGGGGACACACAAGAGCAGGGCTGGCAGCTGCCCCCAGGAGAACAGAGCCCATCCCTCTCCTGTCAGTGCTGACAGCCAGGGCTGGGCGGCGGGGGAGGGAGCGGCTCTGTGCCATCTGCTCTGTTGGCGCTTAGTTTTCCCTTCAGTGGTTTCTCTTCCCTGTTATTACCCTTGACTCCAGAGACCATTTTGTGGCACAAACCTTACATTTCTTTTCCATAACCTTGAAAAAGGGCCCTTAAATGGCATGTAGGATGCAGAATCTACTGTTCAAGGAAAAGCCCCTTCTGAGATGTTCTCTTCTGTGAGAACAGGGTCAGAGGGCCACAGGGCTCTGTAAACACTAAAAACTATGCATTCACATAAAAACAGAGTGGGATAGATTGCATCTGTCCCTTAGACATTTCCCTAAAATTCACTTTGTTGATACTGGAGGTGATTTGACTCTGCATAGCTATGCCCTGCAACATCGGGAGTGGACACAGATGCCCAGAACTGTATCTGCTTCTGTCTACAGAGTTTCAAATTTCTAGTCGGCCTTGCCACTTAAAGAATACTGTATGGATTGGAGAGTTTACACAAACCCAGTCAACAGACTGACAAGATACATTCATGTGAGAATCAAACGAACAATAAGCAATCACAAATGAGAAGAGATCAAAGCCAAATTCCCCTTCTCCAGCTGTCCAGCCAACTTTCTCAATCTTATACTGTCACTTAGACACTTCTGCTGCCTTTGATGGCAGCACCTGGGCTTTTCCAAGGTCACACCTTACATCTCACCCTGGGCTTTGCCACCAGCCAGGGCTGTGCACCGGGAAGTCCCCTACCCTGTGCCCTGCAGCTCTCAAATGTCACATAACGATTGTGGTACATACATCACATAGTCTTGAAGAAGAAATGACAGCAATTGTATGTCAGCACGTGGTCAGTAAATAAGGAGCATTCAATAATGGCAGCTGTTTACTATTAAGGAACTTCTGGGTCTGCAGGAGGTCTCTAGTGGGGGAGGGGCTGCTCTCAACTTGGGTGCTGGTTACACAGGCATGCTTGGTTTGTGAGAATACAGTAAACTTTATGTTTTTGAAAAATTGTGGTAAGATGCATGTAATATAAATGTATCGACTTTTACATTTTTAAGCGTTAGTTTGCAAGGCAATAAGCTAGTAATTACATTGTTATACAAGCATCACCAGGCATGGTTACATGCACATTTCTGCATGTATTTCAGTAAATTAAAAAACAAAACACACCCACACCTCTGTTGGTAATGACAATGCCTAATTTTAAAAGTCCCTGGTGTTATGTAGACAGCATCTGCAGACACTGAGGAGTTATTAGTGTTTCTGGAGGTATTGGGGTTTACTGTTGAAAGTTGGTATGTTCTCAGTGTACAGGGCCAGGGCCACTCCAGGAAGGGGACAGTCTTCAGGTTACAGGGAGTCCCCTGCTACCATACCACCTCTTTCCTAGGGCATGTTACCCCTTACTTCCCTATGTTTACTACTTAGAGGGAGCTGAAGAGCCAAGCTTCTAACCCTTCAACTGCCATGAAATCCAGCTAGAGGAGATGCAATCAGACTTGGTACCATGAGCCCCTGATGGGCCCAACCCCGGTGGCAATCTTTCCCAATGTCTGGGGAGTAGACATCCAGACACTCTGGATGCTGGGACATGACACTACCATGTTCTTGGGAGCCTGGATTTTCCTGCAGCTTCCTCATTCATGCACACTGCCTAGATCTAAGAGAGGCAATGTTTTAGAATCTAGAGAAACCTGATCCACCGTTGTTCTTCCTCTGCAGGTAATAGACGTGGGGCTTGAAAAGGATGTTACCTTTACCCCTAAGTTTGCCCACTCCCTGTTTACAGTTGTTTCTAGCAGTCACATGCAAAACACACTTTGTGGCCATTTTCATGTGAGTGAAAGCACTTCTTTCTTCTCACAGAGCGCAGATGCTCCCACTCCCACCTCCACAGGCTTCAAGGTTGCGAAGAGTAGTGGATCCAGCCACTGGCCTGCAGTGTGAGGCCTCAGTGCCCACAGCTGAAACATGGAGATAATCTCAAGGCAGAGAGCATGTGATGCGGGCACCAAGCCATGTGCCAGTCATCTGAGTGAGTGTGTGTGTGTGTGTGTGTGTGTGTGTGTGTGTGTGTGTGTGTGTTTAAGGGTTTTACTAAAATGCAAACACACAAACCCTGGAGCTGGAGACATGCTCCGTGGCTAGGAGTGCTTGCATCCCAGCATCCCTGTCACAAGCCTATACCCTGGTCCTGTGGGAGAGGGGTAAAGACAGAAGGATTTCTGGGGCTTGTTGGCTGCCAGCCAAGCTGAAAACCAGGAGATTCAGGTTCAAAGACAGACCTGCCTCAAAGTGACAGAGGCTACCTGATGGCTTCCTCTGACCTTGATGCACACACCATATGTAAACACACACAGAGTCAGAAAATAGATTCTAAAACAGACTCTCTGCTTTAAAAAGTCCTTTAGCACACAATGCCATGTAACACTGCTTTTTTTTTTTTTTTTTTTTAAACCAATTCATCCAGGTTGTATTGCTATGAGCTGGGGGATGCGGTTAAACATTCTTTCCCTATCTTCAGATATCTGATATGTTTGCCACAAGAATCTGTTCCCAAACCAAAAGGCAGGTGGGCTTCACCTCCCCCTCCCAAACTTACGAACTGTTCAAAATTTGAAATTTTTCTCCTTTGTGAAAACTCAGGTCATCTTCTGTTCGTGCTTCATAGTCATAAAGGGCCACAAATAGTGTCACTCCTGCCAAAACAAGGAAGGATATTATCACACAGGTTATTAATACTAAGAAATAGCATCTCTGCTAAAGTCTCACCCTTAAAATCTATGTTTATTTGGCATTAATAAACATGAGGTTTGCAATTAATATGGAACACAATGGCTGGATTTATACCATGGTCCTTGCAGAGGGGCATTATGACAAAAACTTGGAGTTGAGGGACGTCTCAGTGTGCAACTCTGGGTTAGTACCGGGCAAGAGGCGGGTTCTGAATGGCATGGATTTGCAGCACTTACTGCCCCCCACTGTCCCCCACTCATGTCCCTGGAAGCTGGTGTTCAGGCCTGGGTAAAATGGACCACTCCGCTCCAGCACACACCTGTGAATGCACAGGAGACTCCTGTGTGGCCAGGGGAGACTTAGAGACATCTCTCACCTGGAAGCAGCACGACCCTCGGCACCCCACCCACAGCTGTGGTAACGGCTGCCAGCTTTGAGGTCCTACTGTTGCACTTCCTACCTGTTCTGCTCTCCTTCTGCCTTGAATTTACCTATCCTCACAGTCTCCTCATCCTTCCTCAGGGACCCTTCTCTCATTCTAGAAGTTTACTGTCAATAGCAAAACAAACAAAGGCCCAGTGTCCCACTCAGTCTAGGGATTGCTTTATTGGGCAGCAGAATTCTAGGACAGTCTCGTGACTCCTGCCGTGGCTCTCATGCCCCTGTGCAGCCTACCTCCCTTATGAACACAATGGCTTGATGCAAATTAAAACAGTATCTGAGGGGACAGGATGTCCCTGGGGTGGCGCATCTTTTCAGAAGGCAGACTTCTCTACTGCCACACTATCTTGCAGACTTTGATTAAGAAGGGTGCCATGGGGCAAGGCACTCGTGACAACTAACTGGCGAACCCCCAGCCAGGAACTGGATCCTGCCCAGACCACATGAGCTAGGAGAGTTCCTTCTCAATCAAACTGTGTAGCCAACGCACCCTGAAGACAGCCTATCCTAGGTAGAGGACTAGGCTGTCACTCCCAGATTCAGACCCGCGGAAACACAGATAATAAACATAAGATCACAAATGTGCCATGTTTGAGCTGTTAAGTTTAGTGGTTGTTACACAGGAAGTGATATCTGAAGGAGCTTTTAATTTCTTTGTAATCCAGCTTCTCATTCTCCACCCCCCACATTTCAAAGTGCCTGCCACGATGGTTTCAGAGCACATGGCTTCCTCTCTGCCAGCGCCACAATGCTATGGAGGTTGTTGTTTCCAGGGAGATGTGTCCGTAGGACCGATGAGAGCACAGGACTGGAGGAAAACTTATCTTTTCACCTGTCTCAGGTGGATGTCCTGACCACAGAGCAGGGCTTATTTGGCACTGTCTTCCTTTTCCTTTTCTCTGGCTTAAAAACAAAATGTGGGTGCCTCTATGTTCATGCCTGCTCAGTAACAGATGCCTCTCCTTTTATAATGTAAAAACAGAGCTATCTCTTATGTGGAAGACAAGTCACATCAGTCAGACCTTCCTGCCCTCTTTGTTTGTTTGTTTGTTTGAGACAGAATTTCTCTGTGTTACAACCCTAGCTGTCCTGGAACTAGCTCTGTAGCCCAGGCTGGCCTTGAACTCAGAGATCCACTTGCCTCTTACTCCATCACTGAGGATCGAGGAAGACACAAAGGAGCATGGAGAGAAAGCAGACATTGCTCGAAGTGGCCTTAGAGGACTGAAGGCAATGCTGTCAGAAAGCCAGGATACCCAACACAACCACACAAGGAAGGGACATCTACCCACATCCTAGGGCTCTGCTTTTTTAAAATGTATTTTTTAAATGTATGTGCTTTTGCTTGTGTATATGTATGTGTCAGAGCCTGTGGGGGACAGAAGAGGACCCTGGATCCCTCTGAACCGGAGTTACAAGTGGTTGTGAGCTGACAGACAGAGGTGCTAGGAACACAACCTAGGCCCTGTGTAAGGGCAGTGCAGGTTCTTAACCCCTAAGCCACCTCTACAGCTCCAGGGCACGGCATGTGAAACTTCAAATTTCATAAGAGGGCAGATGGCCTCTTCCACTAAGATTATCCCTGACTGTGGTATATACCCACAGGTTGACAAGGAGCTCGAGTTGGTGACCTTAATGAACCAAACATGTACAGCCTTCACATCCATCATAAATGAATGGACAGCAATGATGCTCATGTTTGCTGAATTAAGAGTTAGGGCTACAAAACACTCAACACTTCTCGAAGTGGAGGGGCTTGTGTGTGTGCGTGTGTGTGTGTGTGCGTGTGTGCGTGTGTGCGTGTGTGTGTATGTGTGCGTGTAGTATCTTCTAAGAACAAAGGGCCCTAGACTGTCTGCTTCTTTCTCAGGCCCCTGGAGGGGAACAGGAGTTTTGGTGAGGGTCTCATTGCAGCTGGATTTAGGGTGGAGTCACTGTAGCAAAGGTGTCAGCACAGGTGTTTGTTCTGTGGGGCAGAGACTGACACAGCACTTTGGGAAGAGGCCATGTCACAGGCTTCAGTGCCCTCTCCCACCTCCCCTGTGGTAAGATGTTCATGGAGAAAGAGCCTAAAAGCCTCAGCAGCATCAGCTTTCCTGGGGAAAAGGCACTAAGATTTGTCGTAGGGGATACGAGGCATCTGTCCCCAGAAGAGCTTAGGAGTGCTACATTCTTTTAAACTTTTGTAATAAACAATTTTGGAACAAATAATGTGAAATATCTGGTTACCATGGTTCATGCACTGGTGAGGATTTGGCAGACTAATGATGCATGAGACAACTTACAAGAAGCACAGGAAACGTGTTAATGTATGTCAGACATGTTACACAGCATTAGCTACATCAGCAAACAGATATGACAGTGAAACCTAGCCTTGTGGCATCAAAGAAGAGGAAACTTGGGGGAGGAAAGGGAAAGAGAGAATATGAAAATGGTCTTGGCATACAAAACTCATCTTTAAAACACATAGCTGGGTGTGATGTTTCATGGTTGTAATCCCAACAACTCACTAAGGCAGGGGGGTTGTTAATAGTTTAAGGACGGCCTGAGCTACAAAGTCCCAAAAATCAAACACAAAACCACACAACACACATACACAGAATATTAAAGAGGAAAATATAGAGATGTATGGAAAACTTGAGGGCTTGGCCAGGTTGAAATACTAGCAACTTGAGATAAATGGGAAACACAAAAACAAAAAAACCATGCTGCCAAATAACCACAAGGGCCAGGAAGTGGCTGGCAGGCTGAAGAGTGGGAAGAAGAGGGATAAAAGTTACCCCAGAAGTGAGGGAGGGGTGCATCCATCCTGGAGAGCTTGAGGTACGTCCTAGAGCCAGTCCTGAGGCCTTTGGTGCAGAAGACCTGGGAGCGTTCAGGTAGCCTTGCTAGGCATTCAGGGTGGCCTGGGATGGGAACACTTGGCTTACAGGGCCAAGGAGGACACTGCAGTGCACTGACCCATGCAGCATTCTCAGAGCAGTAACAAGAGGCCTCTTGTACCCCCAAAGCCAGGCATTTTGATCTTGGATATTCAACTTGGGACTTTTATTTTGAATGGTAGGTGATGGTTAAAGATGACTGAAATGTCTCTGTTAAAACCGTAGTCATAGTGAGTTAACTGCAGCATAGCCAAAGGGCCTGCCCCATGGCTCAGTGGGTAAAGGAACTTGATGCCTGGGCCTGACCATCCAAGTTTCGTCCCTGGACTCTGTGGTGAGAGGAGAGAACCTACCCCTGAGAGTTGACCTCTGACCTCCACACACTTGTTGTGGCACACCTCCACCCACCCCAGCCACACACACAACAGCAGCTTAGAAAGTGATGTATCCCCAGCCAGCTGTACCTCGGCTCTCCTGACTGCCAGCGGCTTACCTGTCCCTCCCCTCGTCCGCAGGGTCCCAGTGTGAGAGGAAGAGTTCACTCCCCCAAAGACGGTGAGTCCCTGGCCCCCAGCTGCATGGAAGTTGTTGTAGTTTGGGATGGAGGTCACGCCGAAGCTGGGGTAGTGCTGAGGGGTGGGGTCTGTGCCATAGCGGTACCCGGAGCTCTGGTTCAGGCTGCCGTCCCTCTCCTCTGTCAGTTTCGCTGCTTCTTTATCCTTACATTGCACACAGCCCATTATCCAAATTCCTGGCGGGAAGAGAAGAGAGGCACATGACGTGCGTGCGTGCTTCCTGGCCGCTCCGCTAGGGAAGAGGGGAGATTCATCAGGCCGACACAAGCAGTGGCAAGGCTCTAGTGCCGGGAGGCATCTCGGTTATGTGAACTGGACACACTGCCCCTCACGTACTCTGCATGATGGCATGATCAGGGAACGATGCTTACGAGGTACAGCTTCCCTAGAAACCCCACATCATCACATACCTGCCCAAGGACAGCCCGTCAGCTCTTGGTTCTTTTCTTTAGTCACCCCAAAATGTGATGTATGAGCAATATCGTGCTAGAGCACAACCTTTCAACACAGCAAAGGGAATCTAAAAAGGACGCCAGGTGAGCTGGAAAAGCCAGGACGCAGCCTGAAACTACTTACCAGATGTCCCCCACTTGTGGGCACTTATTCTTTAGTCACAAATGATGACCAGTACTGAAACTATGAAGTAGTTACCAAATGGAAAATAAAACTGGGCAGAACCAAAGAGGCTGTCATGACAGACTCCAGAAACAAGCATTCAATGCTGCTAATTAGCATTTCAAATTTCTATTAAGTGTTTGACATTCTTAAAATCATTTTAGAAGAGCATTACTATGTTCCAGAGGTAGTGGAGGATGAAAACATCAGGCAACTGTCACTCCATTCTCCTCGAATTTCCTCCCCGGGGCTCCTCATCTGGGTAAACCTGCAAAGACCCAGCTGCTATCTGAACCTGAGAGGCATCACCATGGCTCCTCCAATTTTACCTCACTCTTCCTGATTCAGCTCTGACCTTCCTGCTTGGGGATGTGGCCTTGAGCACACCCGCCCTTTCTCCTGGACATGTGATGAGTCCATCATGTCCACTTAAGACAGCGCTTCTTTTGAGAAAGCTTCTCAGAACCCCCTTTCTTTTCTTTATTCATGTGTATAAGTGCTCTGTAGCACATATGCCTGCAGGCCACAAGAGGGCATCAGATCCCACTACAGATGGTTGTGAGTCACCATGTGGTTGCTGGGAACTGAACTCAGGACCTCTGGAAGAGCAGCCAGTGCTCTTACCCTCTGAGCCATCTCTCCAGCCCCCTGCAGTGGCTTTATTAAGAGCCTCCTGGCTTCTATGCTATCCATCAGCTTGGGACCTGCCCACTTGTCCCTCTATCCTGTGGACTAAAGTCCATTTCCTCACAGATATATCGCCAATGCCCAGAACATAGTAGCTACTAAGCAACAACTGCATGAGTGGAAATTCTGTACCTTGTTGTATTTCTCTATTTTTCTTATCTCTGTACTAAATCCAGCCTTTCTTCCAGTGACTTCCATCATATGTCCTGCTTTTTCTTCTGTCTTTCCTTCTCCCTCTCCCCGGCTCTCTCTTTGAGTCAGGGTCTCATTATGTAGCCCCAGCTGTCTTGGAACTCACTATGTAGACCAGGGTGGAACTCACAGAAATCTGCCTGCCTCTGCCTGCTGAGTACTGTGATGAAAGACATGTGCCACCACACCCAGCCCCTGTCCTGAATTTTCTAACATCCTGGCATGTATGTGAGAAGTGAAGATAACTCAGAAACATAAGGGATGGCAACAAATGTCACCACTTTGGACTGTCTCTGCCAAAATTCTGAAAAGAAGCTTTTGGGACCAAAGAGTCAAGTAAGAAAAATGTGACATTATGTCTAATAACATCCTCACTGGAGAGGGCAGGGCTGGCACAGGACAGGAAGAGATCTGAGACCATGAAGGGCAACTCATACCAATGTAGGAGCTGTCACAGGGGTGAGGAGATGGCCTGGGGAAGTTCCCAAGCACCGAATTCTCCTAGACCCAGGGCACGGAAGTGCATCAGACACTCCAAAAGCTTCCCCATTCTACACTTCAGCACACACTTACTGAGTTGACTACACGTTCTTGAGAATGGGAATGTTTATCAGGCAGCCGCCCACTACTTGAGCTGAGATCACCAAATCTGGAACCCATTTCCTCATAAATCATTCGAGATTAATTTACAGCATACTGTGTCCAAGATGCTCTCTAACTTACGGTCAGTGAGTGATTTTAACAAGTTTCCAAGAGGAAATGTGCACTATCTCCAAGGCATGATTGCGAGGGCATTTCATCACTACTGCTGATGTTGCCCCATCTGACTGATCAATATCTTGCTCACTTTGCATTAATTCTTCCATGGTAGGAAGTTGCTCTGAGCATTGGCAAGGGCCAGGCAGAAAATACCTGCTCCAAGTGCTTCTTTTCTTGGGGGTCTCACTGACTTGCTTAAGTAGTGGATGTGAGCCTAGACTCACAGGGTCACAGTCACATCTGCCACCCTGTCCACCAAGAGACATGGCAGGCAATGTCTAGAGATGCCTTCAGTTGCCAAAACTCAGGGAGAGGGGTACTTGTGCATCTAGTGGGGTTATGCTGGGGTTGCTGCCAAACATCTTGCACAGAACAGCCTCTTGCAACAAGCGATTTCCTGCTCCAATGTTACTGGCAATACCCTGGAGAAAACCTAAAACCAACAAGAACTTTCATTCCAAACCATCTTTCTAATGCAACAAGGCAACCCCCGTTAGAAAGAACCATTGCAGAAAACAGGACATCATATCCCACCAAACAAAGGAAAGACAACTTCAGAAGAAGTCCCTAAAAAGAGTCCTGCAATGCAATACATGGCTAATTTTACTAGTTTTATTAACAGTAGAGGGAAAGGCATAATTCCTTGAATCTCTTGAAGTCAGGGATTGGAGGCTGGTCCTTTGCTTCAAAGGGGTGTGTGTCTCAAGTGCCTGGAATGGAGCTGTGCACATAGCAGCAAGCCACAGATACCAAGTGAATAAATGAAAACCATCAAGATTATTCCAGAGAAAACAACCTTCTGTGGAATGTGTATACTGCATGCATTTGACATTCTGAGTTAACTAATGCTTCTGCACAGGTCTTGCTTGCTCTTTTCTGTTAGTGACTGACAGATATAAAGAATCAGAAGTACAGACAGATATAGCAACATGAAAACAACAGAAATAATGCAGGCTCCAAACACTAAGAGTTATTCACAGTTATTCACACAGTGAGTGAGGGCTTGTGGCCTTCTTGCCCCCAATTGGGTTGGGCAGTATAACCATTTCTTGATGAAGAGTTGGAAGACACTATACGGACTGCATTGAGTGTCGCCAGGCTCCTTGCCATAAGGCAAACATCTGGACATTTGAGCTCACATAAGAATATCCCTATTCAGTTTTGTGCTGTGGTTTTTATGTCCACCAACATGGATTATACTTACCATCCCACTTGCTTTTGATTTGTGGGTTACTGCAAAACACTGTCAGTGCCACTCTGAAAACACTGGGGTCCTGGAGTTGTGACAAGCAAGGCACCACATCATGTGCCATGGCTCTAGTCCATGTGTCTGTCGTGTCTAGGAGAGCTGGCTGAGGAACATTTTGACCAGCCCAATCCTGAGTGAATGGTCAAGATGTCCTGCTTTTCAATCAGTTTGAAAGTGGAAGGGCCCTGTTTCTATTGCACACATAACAGAAAGATGCAGTTTACTAAAATTTATGTATTTTTGTAGATCTTTTCAAATGTTCAAGCAGCATTACACAACTGGGGAAGAGTTGCCAGATGCAAGTGAAGCACAGCCACACCCTGCTGCCATGAGCATAGCACTTTATACTGTAATGTCATGGCGTGGCCTCAACTTCTTCACATAGTTTTGTGACTGAAAGTGACCTACAGTATGGGGGGCAGGTCTCAATGACTGTAGGTATACTGTATCTGACCGAAGGTGGGTATGGGTGAGAACACACTCAGATGCCAGTCTGAAAACACACATGAACACACTCAAAGCTTCTATTTCCTCAGCTTTCAACCTAATTGCAATGCTCATGATCAAGTGTCAGGGTATATAAGGAGACTTCAGGTACATGCTGAGCTGGGTACCAAAAGCCTGGATGAGAACATAGGCAATGCTGGAAAATCCCTTTCTCTGTGACACACTCTAGGGAAAGCCAGTGAGTAGCTGTCATGCCAGTGGAGTAGGTTGTTACCCTGGAGCCAACTTAGGAGGGTGTAGGGAAGTGACACCCCTAACGCTTAGCTCCCCATCCCTAGCCCCCTGCCACTCCCAGCCCCAAACCTCCACTCTGAGAGCTGAGAGAGAAGCCCTGGCCTTGGGGAGGAACAGGTGAAGTCTGGTCAGCTAGTACTCTGACATGATGGTTCAGCCTGGAGACATCCCATCAACTTGGGTAACCCCTTTCCTGGGCAAATCCTGTGATGGAGGCTAAGAGCAAGGATGGGAACTGGACCAACTACACATGCACAACGAGAATTCAGAGCAGGGTTGAGGTCAACTGCAGCTTCACATACTTTGCCAGGGGCAAAGGCAGACAGCTTACTGAACAAACACCCCTCTTAATGAGGAACAATGGCATGAGGAAGCAGGTAGGAGGAGGCGGAGCACAGCAAAAATGAGGTGAACTTGGAATAGGAGGTTCATGGCAGATGGCTTTTGATGCTTGTAGAATCACAAACACCCACAGGACTGACCTCAGGTATTTTACTACATTCTCAATAGAGACAGCGAATCCCATGAGAAGGCAGGCCAGCTGACTGAGTTCTCCCCACAGAACTTCTAGAGCAGGATTCAGACAGCTGAACAGCATGCTGGGAGCAGTGGGTGTTGGGTTACAGAACCTGCCATCCAAGTTTCCTGGTTCACTAGTGCCTTTCAATTCTGTGCAATGGGGCACAGGGACAGATGACTGACAGCATATGGGTGAGGGCACAAAGTCCCGTCTTTTGGGTACAGCCAGAGAGGTCCTAGGAACTGGGAGGCTGGAGAAAAAGCAGGACCATTTTGGTGCCTCTTGGTTACATAAGCACTCCCGGAGGTCCCAAGGCAGAGAAAAGATCCAGCTGGGTTTGTATTGTGCAACTCTGAGCTCTTGGGGGCAGAACCATGTAGACTTGGTGCCGGGTCCACATAGCCTCAGCACAGCAGAGGGCTCTGCCCACTTGGAAAAGTCTACTTGCTGCCAGCTGGACAGATGAAATGAGAGAAGGTTGTGCTGTGGTAGGCAGAATTCTGAGCTACCTCCCAAGATTCCTGCCCCCAAAGAACACCCCCTGAACAACCCCTGGGGTGTGTGAATGAGACAGTCGCTGCTGTGACAGGCTGTATGACTTGGCAGAGCCAATTTTAAAAAAGACATTACTCCAGATGAGGGGACCTCATTGAGTAAACCCTGGAAGACAGTGGCTCTCCCTGGACACGCAGAGCTGCAGTGTGAGAAGCATTAGGCATGAGGATCTTCTCAACG